GAAAGAGAGCAAGAGAGAGAAAGAGAAAGAGGAAGTGGATAAAGGTGGTGGATGGTGTGCAGTGGAGGAGAAGTTAGATATACAAAGATACGAAACGTCGAGCGGAGAAGAGAGGAGAGGTAAGCTCGGCGTTTGCAGCGATCGGCGCACGCTACCCTACGCGCGCGCGCGCGCGCGCGTGTGTTCTTACAAAACAACGCATCTGAACACTCTGAACCCGTCGCTGAACGCGCTTCAACAGTTCGGCACGAATTCACATTGAGTTGATTATTCTGACGGACGCGCGGGTTTCATCGCGTCGCCGCCATATTGGCGGCTCGATATAACACGTACTAATAATAAGTTCAGATTGGGTACTGTAGGCATCGCAGTTGACGCGCCGATTTTACCGTCGTTGAATGTCGCTACTACAAATGTGCCATAAACAGCGCAGTGATCATGTCATAATATTGACAGCCATACTTGACTATATGTATCAAATCGGAAAAAACTTCACCGTCTAAACATCAATGGAACTATATGTTTTCACTACTTAATTTTATATCCATCGAATGAATCGTGACTTCGTATTTTTTTAAAGTTTGAGCGATAAATATAATATCGACGCCGGATCAGTAATCATCGATTAAAAGTAAATGCAATGCTGTTTCTGTATATTCAGTTAACAATATACGACTTTATACACGTTGAAAGTTTGTCTCGTGTATAATTGACCTTATTACCATTTACTATTTCGATAGCAATCGTAAACATTAATAAATATCCTCCGATAAATTTAAATAGAGCAGTTTATCTTGCAACGAATTATTTTTGCGGCATTACGGTTAATGTTTTCAGTGACTAAAAAATATAAATATCGTGCAAAATTTGTGAACTGTTTGTTGCAACGAATTACAATATGTGGATTTTGTTAATCAATGAATATGTAATTGTAAATGAACAATTATTTAAATCAAGATAAATCTTTGTTGATGACTTCATGACAATTTGCATTGTTAATAACAATGCCTGTAAGTATGATATCTAGTAATAAGAAACTAACTGTAATAATTTTAACAATGATTATGTTATACAATAATAAAAAAAACTATTTATATTTTCAGAGTGGAAATGAACAATCCATTGGAACAAGATTTTCAGGAATTTAAATTTTCAGACCAAAGCAAAATTTGTAAAGACGATGCAGTGGATGATTTGCAAAATTTTGGTACGTTTTTTTCCTAAAATATTGAATGAAGGTGAAACAAATTATATAAGAATATTAAACAATGTAATATCCGCAACAAATAGCATTAAAATTTAGCCTACTTTTTATGAGTTACTTACTTGAAATTCAATATTTTATTCTTGTTTGATTTGATATACTTTTGTTTTGAAAGAAGTAATATATTTTACTTAAAACATTGCTATAAAAATGAATGTTTTTAATACAATGTTATTAATCTATCTTTACAAACCTACCTCATAAATTTTTCCACCCAAATCTTATCATTACTATAAAGATATGTGAATTATATTTATTATTTACTGTTTAGTGATAGTACCCTTTTTTTGTATTAAAGTTTACTTATGTATTTATATGTTATAAAAAAATAGTACTAGAAAAGAACATTAGTATAAAATTATTAAGAGGAGGTTAGGATTTTATTAATGTCGGATAATACGAAAATTTACAAAGATTTTGTTATTGGTATTTATTAAGAAACGTATTTGATATGGTTTATGATATAATTTTATATAAATTTAATAAACCACAAATTAATAATCCTTTTCCTAACCAGAGTTACAACGATAAGATTTGATCCGATTGCAAAATATGATTTTATTACCTTCTTAATCTGTTTGTACAATCGATTAATAATATTCCATTCATTATTTTAATAAAGATTTTTATAAATTACGATAATAATTTAAGATCGGTAAAAAGTAGTTTATGCACGTTCGTAATGTTATCACATGAAATGCATTTTGATACGAACTATATCACGGCGGGAACGTCGCGCTAATATGAAGTGAGCCAATGATATTCGTTCTTTAGCTAGTATCGATTGGAGAATCCCGTTTTCAATTCTCGGCAAAAGCAGAGGCAATTATCTCGCTTGCGCTAGATGGTCTGCTGCTGCAACCATTTTGTGTGAACACTTGCTGTTGCTGCCTATACATCGGCATCGATTGTTTACATCCGTTGTAACACGGGGAACGCGCGTTGATGCACTGAGTGAACCTTTAAAATAAGAAATGTGTTTGGATATAATCAATGTGTAGCTGTTAAATATATCTAATGGGAAATTATATCAGTTTAATCGATTTGACAGTAAATACGAAAGCGCGGCAAATTATTCAATCTATATTTTTCTGAGACTTTTAGTCGCAAAGGTGGTTAGACATTCTGTCTTTATTTAGTTATTTATTTTCAATTATTAAATTTTTCGTAAAAACAATGTTAAGGTGTTGTAATGTAGATATTATAGATATGTTGTAATTTTTGGAATACTTTTTCTTTTCAGGTAAACACATAGACGATAAAAATTCTATATTTTCTTTACGATTTCCGATATTTACATGCGAAATTTGTAGAAAACAATTTGTAACAAAAAAGCAGTTACGTATTCACATCCATACACATTTAGGAAGGCCACGTATAGTTTTAAGGAGAGTTACACATTTGAAAACTATTAAGAAGAAGCATAGTAATACCTATTGGCTAGATCCAGAAAAAAAAGGTTCTTTGAAGTTAACATTAAAGAAACAAAATTTCACTGATCCTTTGAAACTCAAGCTTAAAAAATCATCTGAATCAGAAGATTTTACTGTTGTGAAAAGCAATATTAATCTGGGGACAGAAATTCATAGTCAAAGAGACGTGGCTGGAGCAAAGGAGAATGATCAAAGACATGAAAAAGATACAGAAAGTTCGATTAGTCAGCCGTTTGAAAACGTGATGGTAGAGCAACAGGTATGTTGTACTGATAAGTATTACAAATTTTATAATTAGTGTAATTCTATATAGAATGCTATTGATAGGATGAATATGGAAATATTAAGTTCAATACTGATGAACATAATCCACTGGAAGAAAATGATAGACCATCCATAGACGTCAATGAGGGTGATTCAGGTGTAGGTAGTGATATGGCAAATCCATCTGAAAAGGAAGACCAAAATGTTGATGATCTACAAAGTACAGATCAATATGATAATTCAGATAAAAGACTTTCTGAAACAGAAGATCATGAAGAATCAGATGCATTGGAAGCAACATGTAGAGAAACAATTGAAAACTTGAAGAAGCTTGGCGAACAATCTGGGTAATATTGCATATTTAAAAATAATCTTCAAATAAGATTTATTTTTGTTATAATCTATTTAATATTTTAGATCTAGATCTATGAGTCAATTAATTGACAATTCAGGCATTGAAGAGGATGATGATAGAGGTCATGAATCCAATATGATACATAATTTAGAAGAGAATCCAGCAATTAGTATTATTTCAAAATCATCTACATTTTCAAATCATACAGCAGATTGTACATCAGTGTGTGATGATGGAGATAAGCCTGAAGAATCTGCAGAAAGCACAACTAGTTTTAATTGGAATCAATTGTCTACTAATTTGTCAAATAAGAATAATGAGAATTCTAAAGAGAATGAAGAACAGCCTGATCACGGGGGTGATAATAATATTGACAATGCTGGGTCTCTTTTACAAAATTTGATTGAGCATCAAAGGCATAATCAAAATGAAACATTATCGAATAATTTACCATCGGAAACCGAATATGTTTCGCTCGAAAAGTTAGCTGAAACTGTTAGTACTTGTCGCGTTTGTAATGAAAAATTTAAGGATATTGCTCATTTGGACGAGCATCGGAGCAAAGCTGGACATTATCAGTGCAATATTCCAGAATGTATTAATCTTATTTTTCACTCACCATTGGAAGTTTCTATGCATAAAGCTCAAATGCATGGAACGCCCCTTTCTACGAGCGTGAGCCAGTTGTCTCCTCATTTAAATACAAATTCGCCTCATTTGAATCAGAATTCATCCCATTTGAGTCAAGCATCTCCGCAATTAAGTACACATTCACCTCATGCAGTATCTATGGAATCTCCAAATACACCAAATTCGCAACAAATAAATAGGAATTCTCCTTTAACTTCTCCACATCAAATAAACTCACCTACGTATAATGCAGTAGCTAGTGCTGGGCAGCAAATAATGCCTCCTGTTAATTTTGAGCAACTACCTGCACCTGTACAACAATTAGCTCAACAAGTACAACGTATGCCACTTCCACAAACGCAAATGCCTCCAAGTCTTCCACCAGGTGCTAATACAATGATCCCTGGCCCAAATTACTTTGTACAACCACCAGGAAGACCACCGTTGTATAGAGTTCCTGGTCCACAGGGCATGCATTATCCTCCTCATATAGCACACCTATATCCGCAGTATGGACCCGGTCCATATACGCAAATGACTGCACCGCCACAAATGCATCCTCAATTGCCTCAGCAAATTTCACGTGGAAGGTATCCTACTGTTGCACAAAGTAGTCGGCAAGTACTGTTGAAATAATTGTAAAAGGAAGTGATTTGTTTTTAATCGAAGTTAAATATACAAGATATAAGGAATAATCATTCTTTTTAAAGTAAATTATTAAGCAGTTTAATTTGCATGTGTGTATTGCAGGGCACCGCGGGTACCTCAAACGGGATCAACTCCACGGCAGCGTATGAAACGTCCTATACAACAATCAATGCAAGTACAACAGAACAATTCTGCAATGAAACAACGACGAATGGATGTTTTATTGCCAGATAGAAATGAAGATGCAGACTGTCATGTTATTGCGCAACAAAAAAGAAATGACGGTCTACCCGTTATACAAAATGTTCAAGGTGCTACTACTCAACAAGCAAGCAGAAATGATTCTACTATACATCTTACGGATTCCATAACTCTTAGTGTTAGACAACCAGGTATCTTAAACACTTGACTAGATATTTCTGTCTTAATATATGTTATGTTATGTCATTTGGTTGGTTTTAAATACCTCTTCTAAGATTAGTTTTGGCCCAGAGAATAAATTTTTATATTTTTACAAATTGTTTTACGTTTGTTTTCATAAATTTATTTGTATGTTTATTTCATTATATATTTTGAAATGATGTATGAAAGAACTATTCGTGGAAGAGGTGATCTGGAGAAATAAAAAAACCTATTTTACTAATCTAAAGGTTCCGCTCCAGCTCAAGTGCAGAACCCATCAGGTGTTGGCGGCAAGAAGTCTGATGCAAAGGCTGTGGCTAATGTACTGGCAGCCAGAGGTATTACTGTTACTCCAGCAGCAAATAAAAATAAATCAAGTGAACAAAACAAACAGCAGATACCTTCCCAGCAACAGAGGACTGCATCTTCACAGCAGCCTTTAAATGTTACAGCGCTCACTCTGAATTCTGCTATTTCTATCATACCAGCTAGTTCACAAAAAAAGCAGCAAGAACAGGGTCAGTTTGCTGTTCCTCACAATAAGCAAAACAAAACAGCAGTGAACGAAGTGGAAAGACCACCGAGACCTCCCACAGTAGATTTAACGCAAGATGGTCCACCGCAAATGCCAGTAGTTAGACGTGGAAGACCTCCACGGTAAGACAAATTAAAAGAAAATTGCTCCATATTTATTGATAATGAGATACTTTTCAATATTACAGAGCATTGCTTACTTGTCAAGTGTGTGATAAAAATTTCCAGAATCAGGAAATGTTAACGCAACACATGGCTACTCATCGTGCACCAAGTAAACTACTTCACAAGTAAGAATACTAACTTCTTATACTACAATTAAAATACTAATATCTATATATATATATAAATACTGTTTGGTACTAGGTGTAATCTTTGTCCTGCCCAATATCCGACAGCTCAAGCGCTAACAACGCACAAACAAGCGTATCATAAAGAAGTTGACACCGTAGCACAAAATGGTGGTGCAGAATTAGCACTACCAGTTGTAGATTTGAAATCTCCCCATGTGTTGAATCGTTTATCAAATCTTGGTATACAGAGCTACATCCCGCTGTCGCAGCTTAGTGCTCAAACGGGTGGATATTTTGGATTGCCTATAATCACGATAGACGGTGCACGAAATCCTAACACTTGTAATTTAGGTGCGCTTGGTGCTACATCTATTCTAAGTCTGGGCCCTCTTAAACATTTGTCAAACAGGTAACTGTGGACAATTTTACATTTGTCCTATATTTTGTGCAATGTTTTTTCCTTTATTATAATTTTCATTAATAAGAGTTGCTTATTATGAGTATCATTGCATTGCCTATTTACTGTAACAGGCTGCTTTTATTTTCTCCATTTTCTAGATTAATTAAACAATACAAATTCAGTTTATTCAGTGATTTTACATAGTAAATGAATTCGACATTTTTTTAGTTTGTCTCCTTTTTTTTTTTATTTTTTGGATGTTTCTACTTTCTCCATTTAATTTATATAATTACTCTTAGTTTATGTAATCCTAAAGCAATACAGTATTTATAATGAGAATTAAAGAGGTGTTCGTGTTAATTTAGAATAATGTAGAACAAGATTTGAGATACACAATCATTATGTGAAGATAGTGTATATGTATGTCATATAGTATATTATCACAAGAAAGTTACGAAATTCAAATTGCGCGTAAATCATCGCCACTATTAGTATATTTTTTTTAATAAAGACATGAATGTATTCTTCAGAAATAATTTTTTGAAGATATGTGCAACACGGAAATACTATGATTCCATTCGTAGTGGTACTCTTATTAACGTATCAGAAATCATTTGTGAAGTTAAGAAATATGCAAAAATTATTAGAATTCTTCTGCACTTTCTTCTGCAAAGTAGAGAGAAACAGCTTTTTAAATTTAATGAGAAATCATATTGATTTTATTAAATGAAAATATTACGTTTCTACATTTTACATTTTCAAGGTTTTAAGTAAAAATTTAAATGATCATTACAAAATCATCGTTATGTCATTTCGTATCGCTTGCGATACACTATTTTAAATCTGATATCGGGAACACTTACATATACATTATAAAAATTACGAAGGTACCTAATTATTAGATTCGTTCATCTATCGATATATCCTGAATATTTTAACTGATTCTTCAATAAGTAAGTAATTATATCATATAGTGTTGATAAATCACGTCCGTATTTCAAATGAAAGGATTATAAATTACAAAAACTACAGAGGTAATACAGTGAAACTATAAGAGTTAATTATTTTTTTGTCAAACAATTTCGTTTCATATTCGTACAGATTATCGAGATATACTACCGGTTGTAAATATATTTTGTAAAAAAGATTACAGTTAAAGCATACGCTTGTTTGTACTTGAAACTCTATAAAAATACTAATAATTATGTAAGTGATACTTAAACAGCGAACATTTATTCTTATGAAATCACAAGCGATCTTTATTTATTATCATTCCTATTAAAACATTGCTGTATGTAAATAATTATCATTCTTTGTGTGCTGTGTATATTTTAAAATAAGTGATTCGTTCCGTTTAAATTATAGAAAATGAAAACGATTACTAAAACGCGCAAGAACTGATTTAAAATAACAATATTGTATATATTTGTATGATAATAAAAAAAATGAAGTATAAGATAATTTTAATGAAATCTGGTTAGTTATACAGGTAATAATGGGGCATTATATTGTTCTTAGTTTACAATGAAGAACGTAAGTTTAAAGAAAATTTTATTCATAAATTAAATTTTGAAATTGATTTAACTGTTGATTGTTTTGAAAAATCAATCTTTTGGAACCAATGGAGGATATGGAATTGACATATTATAATTTTGAACAAACAGAACGAAATAAATCTTTTAGGAGATATGCTAATACGAATAATTTAATGTGTTCCTTCCCATTATATTTTGAGTTTATATTTTAAATTGTTACTTACGTTTTTGGAAATCTATTAATAACAAATCTGTCTTGGTATCCTTTACACGTCGTATAATTCGAGTAAATTAACAATTACTATATGTACTACTATATTTGTTGAAATGTTTATTTCTTTTAAGTTTAAATTCTACAAGATGTCCAAGCTTGTCCGAAAAGTGTATTTAATCTATATAAATTTATTGTTATTAGTTAAATGCCATGTTCCTATCTAAGTATTTTTTAAAACTAATTACTATATAATCTTTTTTACTATGTTATATAAATTGCATTGTATATTCAAATGCAATAAATGTTAAGCGAAATAAAAAAGAAATATTATTATTACTAAACTAATATGTATTCTTTATTATTACTAAACTAATATACATTAATATAGATTAATATGAACGTTAAAATAAATAATTTTATTTAAATTTTCTTTCTATTGAACTTTAATAATAGTTTTTATTTTCTGTCATAGGTTTTAGGAAACATTTTCGAGAAATATTTTGATTATCGTTTCAAAATGTAACAATAATATGCCTTTTACTTTAGAATAAGTAATTGAGTAATTATATATTCTTATACAGTTAATTTTAATTATTTGT